TAGACAGACAGACAGACAGACAGACAGACAGACAGACAGACAGATAGATGCTGATGACAGTGTGTTGTTCAGGCTGACAGGAGGGGAACTGCTGGACAGGATTCTGGAGAGAGGCAGTTACACAGAAAAAGACGCCAGTCGTGTGATATATCAGGTGCTGCAGGCGGTGAAGTATCTGCACCAGCTGGGCGTTGTGCATCGAGATCTAAAGGTAAAAAGTTTTAATTCCAGCTTTTCACTGTGGGTGCTTTGCATGCAGCTAAGTGGATATTAAGTAATCATAATAAGTTCTCTCTCTATTAGCCAGAGAACTTACTGTATGAGACTCCATTAGAAGACTCCAAAATTGTCATCAGTGACTTCGGTCTGTCTAAAATGGAAGAGCAGGGAGCTCTTTCCACGGCCTGTGGGACACCTGCCTATGTCGGTAAGAGAGTTTATGATCATGATAATGACCTAATATCATGTGCAGTAACATACAGATTCAAGCTCAGAAAATCATGGTTCTAGTACTTAAAAAAATCTGAAGCTCTAATGTGACACAAAGAACTTTCTTTAATCTAAAAAAACCCCCAAAAAACCTATAGCAACTTAAAAGGATAGTTCACCAAAAATGAAACCTCTGTCATTATTTACCCACTGTCAAGTTGTTTAATCTTTGACGACAAACATGTATGAGTTTCTTTCTTCTGTTGATCATGAAAGAAGATATTTTGAAGAATGTGGGTAACCAAAAACTTCTACGGAAGACAATGGGCACCATCAACTGTTTGGTTACACTCATTCTTCAAAATATCTTCTTTCATGTTCAACAGAAGAAAGAAACTCATAGAGGTTTGGAACATCTTGAGGGTGAGTAAATGATAACAGAATTGTCATTTTTGGGTGAACTATTAGTTTTAAGAGCCTAGTCTTTACCATTGACTGTACTGTACCTCGTGAGTACTTGTGTTCACTTTGTGTTTGTAGCTCCTGAACTTCTACAGCAGAAAACATATGGTAAAGAGGTGGATCTCTGGGCCATTGGGGTCATTACATTTATTCTGTGAGTGCTGGATTAATATTATTCACCCTACATGAATAAAACTCCACAACGAAGAGTCTGTATCAGCAGTTTTTGATTTCCTGGCAGACTCTGTGGCTATCCTCCGTTCTATGATGACAATGACACACAACTCTACAAGCTGATCATAAAGGCTGAATATGAATTTGATTCGCCATACTGGGACGACATCTCTGACTCCGGTATGACCACAATAATATCTAATCCCTCTTCCTGCATTTTAAGAATGACCAAATCACATTCATATCACCCTCAATCCGAATGCGCATATAATGATGCTCCATGCCTCCTAGACCGGGTCAGAACTACTGTATGTATTGTTTTCTAATAAGGCAAAATTACATATTTATAGCTGAGATTTCTATTTCCATTTAGCCTTATTTAATGCTACTTTTATGAAATGTGTAAAAGTGCATATAGCATTTTTGAAGTGAAATTTTGACAGTTTATGAATGTACAAAACCCTAAAATGTCAGACACAAAATACTGTACTAAATAACGTAATTTTCTTCATTTAACTTTTTTTTATTTTTTATTTAAATGTTATTTTTAAATAAAATTCTTAAATGTATTTTAAATAAAAATGTTTAGTTTTTAAATATATTTAATTTAATACAGAGCAAACTACTTTTTGTTAAATGCTGTGCTTGTGCAATTTTAATTTTTTACGTAATGTATTATGCATATATTATGCAGATACATAAAGCACTCTTAAAGAGACAGTCCACCCAAAAATACAAATTCTGTCATCATTTATTCACCCTCATGTTGTTTCGAACATTTATGACTTTGTTTCATTCCATGGAACAAAAGGAGATAGTTTGAAAATGTTTCAACCATTTTTTTCTATGCAATGAAAGTCCAATGAGGTCTAAAACAACACCTTTTTATATATTTATATTGATGCACTGTGATCCATTTCAGTTATAACCAATGATTTTGCTTTCTGTAATAGCTTAGGAAATAATTGCATGAGATATAAAATCAAAGCATTAATGCTTTCATGAGCGGTTTAAAAAACTTCTCTCATTATATTAATGCAGAATGCTTTGTGCAGCCCTAAACACGCCAAATGCCGGCCACATTAAGTGGTATTGATCTTCTTGTATTCTCTGCCTCTTCCTGTCCACTAATGCTTCAGCGAAAGACTTCATAGTTCACTTACTGCAGAAGGATCCAGCGAAGAGGTTCAATTGTGACCAGGCCTTGCAGCATCCTTGGTGAGTCCATAAATAGCAGGAAAGAGGTGGACGGGGAGCTGAAGGGTTGATCAGCGGTAAAAAGAGAGGCTGACCTTGAAGAACAGATGAAGAGTTGGGTCACATCTGTGCAGCGGCGTGGGAGGGCATGCGCAGTCAGGAAGAGGATTATGAAATATAGAATAAACAGATGTCTCCTCACCTGCAGCACTCTCAGATCTTTAAGAAGCACAAAACAATTATGATTTTCATTGCAGAAATGAAATGGAACAGAGTGCTCAAAGAAGCAATGCATTTAAAGAAATACGGATAATTGAGGAATAGGATTTTTTTTGGTACTTGAATAACATACATTATAGCTTCCCAAAAGAAAGTTTTAATTGCTCAGATGTTGCTCAAAAGAGTCCTTTGAGGTTCCAATTATGTTTCATTCTCTGACCGTCATCTTTGTCTGAGATGTTTCTCTTAAAGTTCCTTAGGAGACATAGAGAAATTGTTGTAATACAGTAAGATTATAGAGCTGTTAGATGAATATGGATAGCGGCTCAGATCAAATTGGTATGGAAGTTTTTTCCACTATCACAATTCAGACTTTGTTTCTAGCTAATCTTTTTTTTTCTCAGAATATAAACATAATTCTGCATAAATCTTGCAGTACTGTTTTTTTTCTGCCACAGAATAAAAAAAGCAAAATTTTACTTCGTCATTGCTAATTCCTTTCCTCACAATTCTGACTTTTTGTCTCAGAATTCTGAGTTGTAAATGGAGCAGAAGACTTATTAGTCTCCATTTGCTCCTCTTTTAATTCTGTAGGCAACTGAGATATAAAAGGAATGTCATTTCAGATTTATACTTAGATCACTGTATGAATTGTATATTACTGAATTTATGACCGGTGTTTTAGTGTGAGGATATACACTACCATTCAAAAGGCTGATGTCGGTAAGATTTTTAAAATGTTTTTGAAACAAGTCTCTAATGCAGACCATTTCAATATTTAAAAAAAATGTAATTAACATTTAAATATTTTTTTTAATGTAATTTATTCCTATGATGCAAAGCTGAATTTTCAGCATCATTACGGCAGTCTTCAGTATTATATGATCCTTCAGAAATCATTCTAATATGCTGATTTGCTGCTCAAAAAACATTTCTTATTATCATCAATCAATGTTGTGTTTTTCGAAGATTCTTTGAAGAATAGCTTTTATTTGAAATAGATATCTTTTTCTAACATTATAAATGTTTTACAGTCACTTTTGAGTGCTGAATAATAGTATTACTATTACAGACCTCTTGCTAACATTTGAACAGTTGTTTACACGTTTAATTCTGAATGAATATTATTGCTTCTTAACAGCAGGATATCAGGAGGTGCAGCTCTAGACAAGAACATCCATGGCTCAGTGTCAGCACAGATTCAGAAAAACTTTGCCAATTATTACTATTACAGACCTCTTGCTAACATTTGAACAGTTGTTTACACGTTTAATTATTGCTTCTTAACGGCAGGATATCAGGAGGTGCAGCTCTAGACAAGAACATCCATGGCTCAGTGTCAGCACAGATTCAGAAAAACTTTGCCAAGAGTCACTGGAAGGTAAGAGTGAAGAAAACAAACCTGAGGCAACTTTAATCTGCCAACATCACAGTCTCAGCCTCATACAACGGACCACCTGATGCAAACTGTACACATAAAAGCTGAAATCCCCAGTTGTCATCTGGTTGGTTGACTGGGTTGAGTTCAAATCAGGGTCCTGAAATAAACCAGTTGAGAAGCACTGCATTAGTTGCGTCTAAGTGGGCTGTTTTTGAGTAAGATCAAAAACTGACTAGACTTCTAAAGCACAAGACTCCCATCCTCCATGTGTAATGTGTAAAATAGCTCTATATGACCCGTGTCTGTGACCTCTGAGGCTGATACAGCACTTTGCATTTCTAAATGTATGGCTAGAGTTACTTTAGCGGCATATGGAGGCTTTGTTATTATTTGCCGCCAGTCGTTTGTTGCTCTACTCCTGATTGTCTGCTCTGCCATGCAATTACGGCTTGTACCTTTAAAAGGGCAAACGCTGTAATTGCTGTAACTATCAGGCTTTTAGTTCTAGTGCAATAAATGCCTCCAAACATTAAACTGACTCTTCTGCTCTTATATGCAGCGTAGGTTCACTGTTTGCCATTTAAAGATATTTGCTGAAGTTCCCTAGATTCTGCAGCATTATCGCTGGTGTCTTGTGTTCCAGAGAGCCTTTAATGCCGCCATCATCGTGCGTCATTTAACAAAGAAAACCCACTCCGGGGAAGACGATGAAGGGAATCACTCCACAAGTATAGGTGAGGAGATGTCACATGACTGTGATGACCTGTAGATGATATTAAAGGGGTCATATGATGCGATTCAAAATGTTCCTTTCTCTTTGGAATGTTACAAGCTCTTGGTGCATAAAGAAGATCTGTAAAGTTGCGAAGACTAAAGTCTCAAATCCAAAGAGATATTCTTTATAAAAGTTAAGAGTCAACCACACCTACCTAAAACGCCTCGTTCTAACACGCCCCACATATCTACGTCACTATGTGGGAAGATTTGCATAACGCTGCTCAAATGTTCACGCAAAGAAAGAAGGCGTAACTTTTATTCTAGCTGTAGTATTGTTGCCGCCGCCATGTCGTGAAGACGCTGTGTGTTTCGTTGTGAAAGCGAAACTACTTCGGCCTTCCAACAGAGGACGATATCCGCTTAGTAATGCCTGGAGCTGATCCCTGCTGGTCGCTGATGAAATACATCAACTTCGCGCTGTGGATCGCCGAATCGGCTTTCACTGTGGACGAAGCGGAGTCCAGACCGGGGTCGTCACATGTGGTTGCCGCAAGCTCGCCGGCCGCGCTGTTCTCAAGCCCGCCGTGTGTGACGCTGTGTGTTTCGTTGTGAAAGCGAAACTACTTTGTTTGGCCTTCCAAAAGAGGACACGACTAGAAATCAGTGGTTAAGTTGTATTTACAACACTATTCCAGTACAGTTTAACCCAAATATTCAGATGTGTCCAGCGCATTTTATGGAGGACTGTTTCCTGATCCTGGTATTATATTGTTTAAAAGACAGTATAAGTCATTATAATCCGTAATTATGTCCCCACTGTATGCAACAAATGCCTCGTTTATAATGGGTTTGAATGTTTTTGTCTCGTCGCTCCGGCCGGACACGGCATCACAGTATGGTAAGGGGCATAACATTTCCGTCACACACTTGAGGTATTCGGCCAATCACGACACACTGTATAGCTGGCCAATCAGAGCACACCTCGCTTTTCAGACCGATGAGCTTTGTACAAATCGACGCGTTTCAGAAAGGCAGGGCATAGAGAAGAAACAATAATGTACAATATGTGGAAAATAATGTGTTTTTTGAACCTTAAACCGCATAAACACATTTCATTACACCAAATAATGTTCTTTTTTAGCAGCATCATATGAACCCTTTAAGGACAACAGCACTAAAATGATTTAGCTTTTATTAAGAAAATAATATGGAGCAACCATATTTTAGACTAAATATGAACATGACATATATATTTTTTTCTCCACTGTTTGACCAACAAGCTGTTGCATAATCGTTAGACCAAAAGTACAGTTGAGGTCAAAAGTTTACCTCCCCCTTTCAGAATCTGCAAAATGTTCATTATTTTACCAAAATAAGAGGGATCAAACAAAATAGTTTATTTAGTACTGACCTGAATAAGACATTTCACATAAAATACATTTACATATACAGTGGGGCAAAAAAGTATTTAGTCAGCCACCAATTGTGCAAGTTCTCCCACTTACTTTTTGAATTTCAAGATCAGGGTAAATTTAACTTAAACATGTAACTATCTTCTGTAGCCTTGGAAGGGCAGTACTAAATAAAAAAAAAGGAAGATATTTAGGCAAAATAAGAAAGATTTACACATCTCTATTCTGTTCAAAAGTTTTAAAGGCTTTTAATGCATGGCTTTTCCTTCTGGAGCATCAGTGAGCATTTGAACCTTCTGTTTACATGAGTCCCTAATAGTTACATGAGTCCCTCAGTTGTCCTCAAATACACAAAAATGCTGCAAAACCAAAGAATTTGTGGGACCTGAAAGATTTTTCTGAAGAACAGCAGACAGTTTAACTGTTCAGGACAAACAAGGGACTCATGAACAACTATCACAAATAAAAAGGGAAAAAAAGTAACCTTTTGACCTCAAAGCTTTAACAACTTTTTCCCTTTAACTTTTTAATAGCTTAAAATGGTTTGCATTCCATTTAGATGAATGAAACTGCTCAAATTTTGACAATGATGACATGAAATGACTTGATTGCAATGTTTAATCCAAGTAGATTTCTCATCATTTCTGTTAAAATTAATTTGAATTTCATTCTAAAACAGACTTTGGTTTAATCTAATGTTTTTTTTTCCTGAGTCAATGAAAACAAATTATTTCACTTTTTCTGCAGGGACCATCTGACAATCTACTGGCAGTAAACCGAGGCTCTGTTAAAGGAATAGTTCACCAAACATGAAAACTGTGTCATTTACTCAAGCTCATGTTACTCCAAACCCTTATGACTTCTTTCTTGACCCTCATTGTGTGAACAATGAAAGAAGCAGTGAACAAGTTCTGTGAACATCCAAAAAGGAAACAAAAACATCATGAAAACAATTCATTCAACTGCATTTGTATATTCAAATTTGGCATGTGTCAATTGGTTATGAGACATATAAGAACCAGTAGCGTTCAGCATCACTGACAGTAAACTTGGCGAGATGCATCTTCATGCACATATTGAACTATATGCAAAAGAGAATTAATGTCTGAGAACTGCAGTGGAGTTAAAGTTGGCAAGAAATGGATATTAATCCATTTTCTAAATGCATCTTACAGAACATATATGGTGAACGATTCATCCATGCATGTTTTATTTTTTTGACCTCGGATTTTTAAATCAAAATGTCTCGATCTTCTGGTGAAAATACAACATTTTTTCCTAGTGATCTGTGCCGAACTTTTCCAATCATTTAATATGTTTAAACCAATTCTTTGCTACACTGTTTAAAGCCTTTTTTGGGAGATTGGCAGCAGAGTTATTATTGTTAACTAAAAGGAAAAATTAAACAATAAGAAAACACTTATATATATATATATATATATATGTATATATATATTCACACACATTTCTCTCTTT